CCCCCAGACCGATTGGCTACTATCTTTAGACTCCGAATAATTCACGCACTGCTAATTTCTCTGACTCTAGCTCTCTCTCTCTCTCTACAATCTCATGACTATTTTTAGCTGAAAGGAACTGAGTGTGCAGATGTGTGTTTGTGTTTGTGATACATCTACTTTTGCTAAATTACAGCAGAAAACATATTAGGCACTTCCCACTTAAGGGAATCTGTTTAACCCCTGTTTCATTATCTCGTAAATGATGGCAATTAAGCGATTCTGGCTGTGAGATCCATTGTTGRCCAAGAAGACCTATATCTGGCAGCTGGTGATCCAGAGCTAAATGCTCTCTTTATCCTTTAATCCTGCACAGAAATGTTTTATTAACTGCAAAAAAAAAAAAAATCCACCCACATGGAGTTTGTATCTAAGAGAGAATGTGACGGTGTTGTTGTATTTATTTATTTATTTATTTATTTATTTATTTTTTGGTTGCCTCATCAGGCTCGTCAGAGGGAGAAAATGAACGAGGAGCACAACAAGCGTTTATCTGACACGGTGGATCGTCTTCTCACCGAGTCCAACGAGCGGCTGCAGCTCCATCTGAAGGAGCGCATGGCTGCCCTGGAGGACAAGGCAAGGCTCGTACACACAGTCATCCAAGTAGCAAAAGCTCTGAATTCAAACACAAGATACATATTTTTCCCAACTAAACTATTTGCTGCAAGTGGAAAAAAAATGTTTTGTTTTTGGTCCAGAACTCCCTCATTCAGGACCTGGAGAATTACCAGAAACAGCTTGAAGAATTCCACCACACCAGGGTCAGTAAACTTTAACAAATTGCCACTTAAACGTTTTTTTCATGTCTTTACAACTTTAATCAGCAAAGAAACATAAACGKATCCTTTCCCTAAGTGCAATACTTACATATGGCATTGTAGTACCTTCATCTTGTTCAACAATTCAGATCAAATGATGAGGTCCTTTTATGGATTTTACCATCAAAAAGCAATTCCCTTCAAGCATAACCTGGCTCATTGCAGCTTAAAAGGGCAATCTTAATTGTCTGAAAGACTTGTTTTGAATAAGAATCTGTTTTTAATTTTTTTTCTATTTTTTTTTTTCAAACGTGAATTTACAGACATGATGTTGAGGTTTGGGATGAGGATGTCTTCATAATAGAGCAGCAGATGTAAAACTTCTCAGAAGGTCTTTACAAGACAAATACCTTGAAAAGACAGTTCAGATCATTTGAAGTGGGGTTCCATGGAACTGTTATTAACAATTATTATCTCACCTGTTGTAGGTAGCTCTTTGAATGACCTCAGTTTGGAGAAATTAGTTCATTTATGACCAAACTAATGAACTCTTCTGAGATCGTCATTCTTAAAAACTTCAGTCACAAAGATTTTCTATAAGATCACTTTATTTTTAATCTTTATATTTGAAGCAAATTTACATGGCTATTGCACTTCAGTTCAACCTGGAGCTACCTTGCATTTTTATCAGAATAGCGGATGCAAAAATGACAGTATAAAGATTTATAAAGTAGTTTTGCATGACGTAATAAGAAACTTTTGAGATTGGAGGTATTTTAAGACATCAGAAATCCACTTTGGAGTGGTTCCAACTCAGACTAGTCATTGATCTGGTTTGAATTCAACTCTGTTGCTCCAAACTAAGGCCTTTCTAAGAGCTATAAAACAAACTGAACGCCACCTCCGAACATCTGATCTGTCCCTTCAAAAAAAAATTAACATGCTTTCAAATTTAATCCAAACTGTTACATTATAATGTTTTTTAAAGTGATACATCAATCTTGTTTAAAATAGATAGTTTTATCTATTTGTTTATTTATATTTATATTTTTTTACTTGTTTAGCTTTCAAGTGATTTTTTAGTGATTACTTTCAAGTATACAGATGTTGAACTGATTAATGCAACACAGATTACACTTTGCTTGCTGCTAAGATGTCCTTTTTGTATTACTACACTTTTTGTAATTTTATTGATAACGTAAAAGAGTTGTTTACATTTATGAATCTCCCTGTCTCTTTTTTAGGAACGCATGATTGGCGAGATCGATAAGCTGAGAAACGAGATTGACCACCTAAAGCGCCGCAGTGGAGCATTTGGCGATGGGACTCATCCCCGGTACCTCTGAGCTTTCTCCTCACGCCGCATATATTTATGCTGTTCCATGTATGACGTGCTCTTCCCTCGTGATCCCTCAGGTCTCATTTGGGAAGCGCCAGCGACCTGCGCTTCTCTGTGGTGGAGGGCCAGGATGGTCACTACAGCACAACGGTGATCAGGCGGGCGCAGAAGGGCAGACTGTCGGCGCTCAGAGATGACCCCAATAAGGTGCTGATCGTGGCTCCTGTACAGCTTCTCGCGCACATTAAGCAGTACTTACAAAGCCACATGTTAACCGCTCTAATAACCACGCGCAGCTTTTCCTCAGCGCTTTACTCAGGTCCATGTCTGCTTTGTTAGTAAGCGTCAGCGCTTGGCTGTCTGTGTGTGATGATCCCCACGCCATACTTCCCATTCTCTACTAACTCTCTGTATTCCTGTCTCTCTCACCTGCTGCTGGACATGATGTGTGATGTAAGTTCCTTGTTCATCCATTTCTTCTCCACAAGAGTCATATTACGTTTTTTTTACATGTATGCTTTTAATCAAAATTAACACACTGAGTTCATGTAAAAAATAAATAAATAAATAATTTTAAAAAAGTGAGAAGTCCTTTTTAATCACGTTTTGGCTTTGTTTGTGTTTGATCCCACACATGTTCAGGTGTGTGCCATGTTCGAACAGGACTACCCGTCCCTGCGCAGCAGCGTCAGCCACCTCCTCGGCAGTGACGTCGAGGCCGAGTCGGACATGGATGACGACGTCAGCTCGGCCCTGCTCTCCCCCAGTGGCCAGTCGGACGCCCAGACTCTGGCGCTCATGCTGCAGGAGCAGCTCGACGCTATCAACGAGGAGATAAGGTTGCATATTACAGGCACATTACCATACAYGACTCCCAGGAGGGGAATTCAGACGAGCAAGGGGATATTATTTGATAMACAGTGAAGGAGAGCAATAAAACAGAAGTGATTACAGGAAAAAGTACAGATTAGTTTGAAAACTAAAGGTACTKCTGCCATGTTTGCTTCCACACATGACAATGTTGAGTTTATGTTAGACACATAGGCTAAAGCTTGAGTTAGACAAATGCTGTCATCATTTCCTTCCTTATTTCCAATGTTAATAAAAAWTTTTGCTCTAAGAACCAGTAGCTGTGTTTCCTTTGACCATGAAAATGAGCAAATTAGAATTTCAAAAATAAATTTGCTCAGTGAAAACATGTCAGTTTCGAAAAAACTTCCTTTTTTCGACAAAATGGTTTTGCGCTAGGATGAGGTGGATTTTCGGCCGTATCGAAATTGGTGTGTTTCGCAAAACTGAAATGGAAACATTTTTTCGCATCACGGGAGTCACGTGATCAACAACCGGGTCTTTCTACKGGCGAAAAAGACAAAGAAGAAGACGATAACAGGAAGTAGAAGTAGTAGTAAAATCACCGAAGTAGTAAAAGAAAGTAGTAAACTCACTGACTACAATTTCCCAAAAACGTTGCATACGTAGCCGTTCCCAAGTATAAGGGGCTTGTCGCTGGAAAGCTTCGATAAGATGCCAACGTCACCTCTGATGATTAGCGCTAGTGTCGTGGTAGCAATTATGCTTGTGTTTACATCCGTTGCCGCCATGTTTGTAATGACTTATCGCGAGAACAAACGTATTCATGCATGACTTTAATAGCATTTCTTACTTAACGGAAACATCGCAATTGCGAAACTGTGTTTTTCGACATTAACAGAATATCAACAAAGTTTTGCGCACATTTGCATTGGAAACGCAGCTACTGACTGTAAAGTGTTATCATCTACATTCTACATGTGTGCTTGTGTTGTGCACACAGAATGATCCAGGTAGAGAGAGAGTCCGCAGACCTGCGCGCCGACGAGCTCGAGTCCCGCGTGAACAGCGGCAGCATGGACGGCCTCAACGTGACGCTTCGACCCCGGGCCCTGCCCACCTCCGCCACCGCCCAGTCCCTGGCTTCATCCTCCTCCCCGCCCACCAGCGGCCACTCCACACCCAAACACCATGGACGCAACCCCAGCCACCATCTAGGAATCATGACTTTGGTTAGAGGGATTACACACAGTGGGCAGAGCTCAAACAAGATTGTCTTTTATCATCATCTAATTTTTTTTTTGTTTCTGTCTGACAGCCGAGCGACTTGAGGAAACACAGAAGAAAAGTAGCTGTAAGTTTGCAAATGCAGCTGACGCAGCACAGCTCTTAGATGTAACATCTTTCTGAAGTAAGTTAAGGATGGGTTTTTTTTCCTGATTTTTTTTTAGTCTCCAGTCGAAATGGACAAAGCTACTATCAAGTGTGAGACGTCACCGCCTTCCTCTCCGCGGAGCTTACGACTGGAAACCAATTTTGCCCAATTCACAGGCAGCCTGGAGGATGGAAGAGGGTAAGCACACACACACACACAAGTACACACCATCAAAAGCAATAATAATACTGATAATATAAAAAAATATTGAAGCATTTTAAAGTGCCTGTGACATGCATTTTTTAATACAAAAAGTCAAAGAAAACATTTTTTTATATTTAAGAAACTTGCCACAATACATACTATTTAACATGTTTCCTTTTGAACCAGGCTCAGCCATATTGAAACAGGAAGTGACATCAAAGGGAACTCTTTAAGAAAGAAAACTTTCTGGTCTTTGTTTATTGAAACAGTATTATGTGAACTCTGATTCTTCTTCATCTCTCTGATAGATTCAAAATTATCTAAAAAAAAACGCACCAGATTCTTCTCAAAATTTTGTGTTTTTGGCCATTGTAGCAGCGCTTTGTTCACATTCAGACATTCTCCTTTGACATCACTTCCTGTTATTTCACATGCAAAAATCTCAAAAACCGTTCATCTCAGTAGCATGAAACTTTTGTTGCAATATTTTATTAAAGTTATCTTTCCAATAATGCATTCATATTTCTTACAAAAATTTGATGTCACGGGCACTTTAAGGTTTTTGTAAAGGTTCCATTTACTCTAAAATATTTTGAGCCTATAAATAATTATTTTGAACATTTAWTGAAATTTATTCTAGAAAAGTATGTACAATATAATGTATATTTCGCATGATATATCTAACTTACACAGTTGTGGGGAACTTTTGTAGTAATTATGTCCTTTTTACTGACTGCAGCAAGCAGAAGAAAGGAATCAAGTCATCTATCGGTCGATTGTTTGGGAAGAAGGAGAAGGGTCGAATGGATCAGACTGTTGGCAGGGACGGACAGTCTCTACCAGCCTTAACAGGTTCTCTGTAGACTTCAGGGTTCCATATAATGAAAAGTAGATGAAAACTAACACGTTGTTTCATTTTAGACTTTGAGATGAACATCGGTGACACGATGACCCTGGGAAAACTGGGCACGCAGGCTGAGAGGGACCGCAGGATGAAGAAAAAGTACAGAACAAACACTTAGCTTGATTGGTTATTACTATTATTTGCCAAATATGTTTGCTCATTGTGTTTATTTCAATTCGCCCTTCAGACATGAGCTTCTGGAGGACGCAAGGAAAAAGGGTCTCCCATTTGCGCAGTGGGACGGACCGACTGTGGTCTCATGGCTGGAGGTATTTCATTTCTCTTCCAACCAGACACATTCCCTAAAACCCAGTCCGATCCGCTCTCCCTCCCTTCCCTCTTCCTGCATTCATGGTGCTGACACTGAATGTCTTGATGGCTCTCACCAGCTGTGGGTGGGGATGCCAGCCTGGTATGTGGCAGCCTGTCGCGCCAACGTAAAGAGCGGAGCCATCATGTCGGCGCTGTCCGACACGGAGATCCAAAGAGAGATTGGCATCAGCAACCCTCTGCACCGCCTCAAACTGCGCCTGGCCATCCAGGAGATGGTCTCCCTCACCAGCCCCTCTGCACCACTCACTTCCAGAACGGTAAAAAACAATAAATACAACCAATACCTCTAATAGTACAACTATATATTTATATTACAGGCAGTTACATATATAGTAATAAAAAGATATAGTAACTGAACTGAAAGGAGATAGTTCAAACAAAAATGTAACATCTGTTCCACTGCTACTTTGCATGCAAAAGGAATGCCTTTTGACACTTTTAAGACTTTTTTTTTTGTTCCATTCCGATTGCGGGTTAACCTACAACTTAACCTCTTTTAAAAGGATTGTTCGAATTTTTTGATGTTGGGATCTATGGAAAGGTTATAAACAATAACTATCTTATCTGTTATAGATAGCTCTTTGAACAACCTCTATGGGATAAATCTTGTACCAGCAGGAATTGAATTTGAATTGCTCAGATTGAATCTGAATATGCATAATTTGAAATTGAATGCATTGGTTTGAAAATGATATTTTGTATCTGAATGAATTTGCTTTGAAACTGTATTTTGGTTTATTAAAAATTCAGTTTGACTACTTTCATCATGGACCTTGTATTGATCAGATGCTGCTGACCATGATGCTATGTATGATGTGATGTAAATGTAACATTTTCTACACATAGGTAAAATTAATCACTGCAATAAAATAACTGTCTGTTTTTG